AAATATAAAAATTCTTGAAATTGAGTTAATTGCAAAGAATATAATTACCTTTTTTCCACTAGCGAGGAAATACATAGACAGTTCTGGTCGCTACCGACGCCGTAAAGCCCCACAAACAGAAGCCATCCGGGCTGAGCTCATGGATGAAAGCGAATATTTTTAAAAAACTATTCAAATAAACTTTTTTTTCCTGAAGAAAAACCCGAAAAAATAGACGAATCTGGTGAAGAAAGCGGTGGAAATGTGGTGGAGTCATTCGGGTGTATGGACAGCTTTCCTTTTGCACAATCGAGCAGCCGGCGGTGCAGTTGTTCAATCGAAGAAAGCAGAGGCGGAATACGCCGGTAATATATCGTTTTTTGCGGAATTTCTTTTGAATTCATGAATATTAAACATTATATTATTCAATATTTTCTTTTTTTCTCAAATTAATGATGGGTGACCGCAGTGTGACCGCTCCGTCGGCAACGGCGCTAAGACGAAACCTGAATATGTGTTCAGATCAGCGGCTTGATCCTCTGGCTCCCGTACTGGCGAAGCTTTCTTTTCTCGAGAAGGTGTGTAATATTTATTTTATTTTTGCAGATATTCCACTTTATCAATGATATTTCAGATGGTGGATACCCAAACGAAACTTCTGCGCCAAGTCCTCAGACGACTGCCTCCTTCTCCTGCAGCTGCCGCTTCTTCTTATGAACTAAAAAACGACCCCAAGGGTTTCTGCACGACATACACTTGCCCTGTTTCTGCGTTGAAAGCTCTCAACGGAAAGCTATCATCATCAGCATCATCTGCATGCAACAAAGAGGAATACGACTGTGCTCCAGTATGCAGCAGCAACTCAACAGCAGCATCTCCCCCATCAGTTTCTCCCTGCGCCAAATGCAGTAGAGAAAAGGAANCAGCAGCAACTCAACAGCAGCATCTCCCCCATCAGTTTCTCCCTGCGCCAAATGCAGTAGAGAAAAGGAATCTGAATCAGAGTTATTAACAAACCACGAACGACTGCTGCATGCAGCAAGACCTGCAGATACAGCTGAATTCGGTGCGTGTGTGATGCGTGCAGCTGTATACTGTTTCTTTCTGATTCAACTCTTTTTATTCTCCTCTCAGCTGCTTGCATGCATTAATTTTTGTTTTTAATTTTAACTACAACACAGAAACTCCTCGACATCTCGCTGCAGCAGAGCAGCCACCTATACCTAGGATTTCATCGTCTTCTTCTTCTCCTTCTTCCTCTGCCTTGTGGTGCGTTTTGTTTGTTTTTTTTTTAATTTTTTCGTGGTATTCAACTCATATAAACCTCAGCAGCAACAAGAGAGTGTTAACACCCCCCCCGTGTCAATGGTTACCTCTGAAAACTGTGCGGCTGTGCCGCAGCAGAAGCAGCAGAGAGCTGGAGGCCTCTCCTGCTGCTGCTTCTGCATGCATCCCGCAGCGGCCTGTAGCTGGGCCTTTTGGTTCTCCTTTGATTGAAGTGCAGCAGCATGCAGAGGGCTGGACTGCTGCTGCCAGCTTGCTGCAGCTCACATCCCCGGGTGTATGTACAGCTCCGCATGCATGCAACAAGACAGCACCCATGCATGCACACGAAGAAACAGATAAAGATTCGTGTCTTATTGTGAGGAAAATTATAAATACATTGAATTCCTTATTTTTTTTATTTAAGTGGTTTTTTTGTCTGTTGTTTTATTTTTTTTT